TGTCAGAGAGAAATTTCAGATTACTGATCATAAGGACACTGAAAAGAATGGAAGACAAATTCAACAATATGTGTAAGAAGCAAGAGGAAATAAAGAAGAACAAAGAAGAAATGAAGAATGACATAGCTACAATAAAGAACAAAATAGAAAGCATCAACATTAGACTAGAAGAAGCTCAGGATCTCATCAGTGAACTAAAAGACAAGGTAGGAAAAAATACCCAAGCAGAGCAGCAAGAGGAAAAAAAAGGCAAAAACTTAAAAAAGAGGAGGAGAGTTTAAGGCAGCTTTGAGATAACATGAAACAAAATTATATTCGCATAACAGGAATGCTAGGAGGAGAGGAAAGTGGGCAAGGAATAGAAAACCTGTGTGAAGAAATAATAACAGGAAACTTGCCTGGTATTGGGAAGAAAAAATTCACACATTCACACAAGTCCAAGTAGCTCACAGAGTCCCAAACTAGATGAACCCAAAAAGACAGACACCAAGACACATCATAATTAAATTGGCAAACTCCAACAACAAAGGAAGAATATTAAATGCTGCCAGAGAGAGACAGAAAGTTACCTGTAAGGGATCTCCCATCTGACTATGAACTGATTTCTCAAAAGAAACACATCAGAGCAGAAGGGAATTGAATGAAATATACAAAATCATGCAAAGGAAGGATCTGAATCCAATAATACTATACTCAGCAAGGATATCATTCAAAATTGAAAGTGAAATCAGGAGCTTCAGAGACAAAAAGGACTAAGGGATTTTATTACCAACAAACCAGCAATGCAAGAAATGCTAACGGGTCTGCTGTAAAAAGAAGAAATAGGAAGGGAAGAAGGAATACAGGTATAAGGAATAAAAATGGCAACAAACAAGTACTTATCAATAATAAATTTAAATGTAAATGGATTACTAGTAAATGGCCAAATCTAAAGACATAGTGTAGCTGAATGGATAAGAAAAGATGACTCTTATATCTATTGTCTACAGGAGACCCACCTCAGAACAAGGACTCAGAGAGACTGATAGTGAAGGGATGAAACAAAAATTTTTTAAGCGAATGGAAATGAAAATAAAGCTAGGGTAGCAATACTTATATCTGACAAATTAGACCTCAAAAAGAAGACCATAACATGAGATAACAAAGGCCACTTCATAATACTAAAGGGAACAATATAACAAGAAGATATAACTCTGGTAAACATATATGCACCCAATACAAGAGCACCCAAATACATTATAAAAAATAATATGGAAGATATCAAGGGAGAGATCAACAGCAATACAATCATAGTAGGGGACTTCAATACCTCATTAGCACCACTGGATAAATCCTCTTATCAAAAAATCAGCAAATAAACATCAATCCTAAATGGCTCATTAGATCAGATGGAATTGACATCTTCAGAACATTTCACCCCAAAGTCTCATAATATACATTCTTCTCAAGTACACATGGGTCATTTTCAAAGATAGACCACATATTGGGACACAGGCAAAGTCTCGCATCTTCTCAAAGCACAATGGCATAAAATTAGAAATCAACAAAATTTAAAAAATAAAAAAATCAAACACCTGGAGGCTAAATAGCATGCTATTAAACAATGACTGGGTTACCAAAGAGATCAAAGAAGAAATAAAAACCATCCTGGTAACAAATGACGATGAAAACACAACAATCCAAAATCTATGGAACACAGTGAAAGCAGTCTTGAGAGGGAAGTTCATAGCTATACAGGCCTTCCTTAAAAAACAAAGCAAAACAAAACAAAAAAGAAATGATAATAAACTATCTAACCCTACAACTCAAAGAGTTAGAAAGAGAGCAACAAGAAAAGCCCAGCATAAGCAGAAGGAAGGTAATAATAAAGATCAGCGCAGAGATAAACTAAATAGAAACAAAAAAAAACCTACAAAAGATCAATAAAATCAAGGGCTGGTTCTTTGAAAGCATAAATGAGATTGATGAACCTTTATCCATGCTCTCCAAGAAGCAAGGAGAGAACACCCAAATAAACAAAATCAGAAATGAAAGAAGTGAAGTAACAACTTACCCACAGAAATAAAAAGGCTTAGGAAAAAATATTTTGTACAACTCTATTCCAAATACATGGACAACCTAGACAAAATGGACATTTTCTTAGAAAAATACAAGCTCCCAAAGCTCAATCAGGAAGAAGAAGAAGAAGAAAAAAACTTGAATAGGCTGACAACTATTGAAGAAATTGAAGCAGTAATAGAAAATCTTCCAGCAAACAAAAGCCCTGGTCCGGATGGCTTTACAAGTTCTGCCAAGATTCAAAAAGGAAATAAAACCTATCCTCCTCAGACTATTCCAAAAAATTCAAGAGAAAGGCACACTTCCAAGCTCTTTTTATGAAGACATTACCCTAATTCCAAAACCAGATAAAGACACCACAAAAAAAAAGAGAACAATAGGCCAATATCCTTGATGAATAGATGCTAAAATCCTCAACAAAATTCTAGCAAATGAGATCCAGCATTACATTAGAAGGATCATACACCCTGACCAAGTGGTACAATATCCACAAATCAATAAATGTGATACATCACATAAATGAACTGAGACAAAAATCACATAATCATATCAATTGATGCAGAAAAATCATTTGACAAAAGCCACACCCTTTTTTGATAAAAACTCTCACATAAAGTGGGAATAGAGGAATTATACCTCAACATAATAATAACCCTATATGACAAACCTACTGCCAACATCATACTTAATGGGCAAAATCTAAATCTATTTCCCCTAAAAACAGGAACAAGACAGGGATGCCCACACTCACCACTCCTGTTCTATATAGTACTGAAATTCTAGACATAGCAGTAAGACAAGAGGAAGAAATAAAAGGCATCCTAATTGTAAAAGAAGAAATAAAACTGTCCTTATTACAGATGACATGATCCTGTACATAGAAAACCCCAAAGACTCCATCAAAAAACTACTAGATTTAATAAATGAATTCAGCAACGTAACAAAATACAAAATTAACATCCAGAAATCTATGGCCTTTTTATACACCAATAATAAACTCACAGAAATATATATTTAAAAACATTCCATTTACCATTGCAACAAAGAAATTAAGATACCTAGAAATAAACTTACCTAAGGAGTTAAAACACCTCTACTCAGAAAACTACAATAAGAACAGACATATAGACCAATGGAACAGAACAGAGAACCCAGAAATCGACCCAAGTTAATATATTCAATTAATATTTGACAAAGGAGGCAAGAGCATACAATAGAGACAAGACAGTCTCTTCAATAAATAGTGCTGAAATATTTGGTCAGATACATGCAAAAAAATGAAACTAGATCACCAACTGATATCATACATAAAAATATACTCAAAATAACTAAAGGACTTAAATGTAAGATGGGAAACCATAAAATCTTAGAAGACTCCATAGGCAGCAGAATCTCAGACACGGCTGAAGCAGTATCTTTATCGATACACCTGCTAGGGCAGTGATGGCAGAACTTTTGAGCTCGGCAGTCCTAGGGCAATGGAAACTAAGGAGAAAATAAACAAATGGGCTACATCAAAATAAAAAGCTTCTGCACAGCAAAAGAAACCATCAAAAAAACCCCCAAAAAACAAGAAAACCCACTGCATGGGAGAACATATTTTCCAAAGTTATTTCAGATAAAGGTTTAATCTACACAATTTACAGGGAACTCATACAACTTAACAATAGAAAGATAAACAAACCAATAAAAAAATGGGCAAAGGACCTAAATAGACACTTTTCGAAAGAGGACATACAGAAGGCCCAGAGACTTATAAAAACATGCTCAAAGTAACTAGTCATCTGAGAGATACAAATCAAAATGACAATGAGATACCATCTCACACCTGTCAGAATGGCTATCATCAACAAGTCAACAAACAACAAGTGCAGGTGACGATGTGGAGAAAAAAGAAAGCTCATACACTCCTGGTGGGAATGCAGAATGGTGCAGCCACTGTAGATAACAGTATGAAGTTTCCTCAAAAATTAAAAATGGAACTCCCATTTGTCCCAGTAATGCCACTTCTAGGACTATACCCCATGAAACCAGAAACACCAATCAGAATTTATATATGCACCCCTATGTTCATAGCAGCTCAATTTACCATAGCTAAGATTTGGAAACAACCTAAGTGCCCATCTGCAGATGAGTGGATTAGAAAATTATTGTACATCTACAAAATAGAATACTACACCACTATAAAAAAGAAGGAACTTTTACCATTTGCAACAGCCTGGGTGGAACTGGAGATCATTATGCTAAGCGAAATAAGCCAGTTGGAGAAAGATAAATATCACATGATCTCACTCATATGTGGGATATAATGATCAACATAAACTGATGAACAAAAATAGATCCAGCAACAAATGGTGCTGGTGGTGGGGGGTGGGTGTTAGAGATCAACCAAAGGACTTGTATGCATGCATATTAGCATAAACAATGGACATAGACACTGGGGTGGTGGGGGCTTGCCCTCGGGGGTAGGAGTGGCCAGGGAGGAAGTCAATTGGGGGAAAAAGGAGACATGTAATACTTTAAACAATAATAAAAGAAGAAAAAGATTAGACCAATTAGGAAGTTCTTGTAATAGTTCAGAAAAGAGGTAAAATTATGTCAGGGAAAATATAAATAAGAAAGCAAAATGTTTCTTTGTCATAAAGAGAAAAGCAATATTGTTTTGGCTCATTAAATTTTTAGTATATTATTTTTCCAGAAATACAGTGAACTTCAAACTTCAAAACACAAAAAGCACAATAAAAGAGAATGAATGATGTAATAGTGTTTATCATCATTATTATTCACATCATGACAGTTTATATTTTTCTACAATAGACATAGGAATGAAAATAGATACAAAAAAAGGAGAAAGAGAAAGAAAAAGAGGGAAAGAATCAGAATCAAGAGCAGGATTAGAATCCTTGACCTAAGAAAACTCTGTAGCTTCTTATCTATTACAGTCTTCCTAACTCCAATATACATGGATAGTTTTTAAAATTTATATGTCAATTAAAGTGAGATATTAATGCAAAATTATAAAAAAGTTTAATAAATGTAATGTTTAAAATATAACTTAGTAAATCTAAAGTGTTCACATTTAATGAAATTAAAAACTCATCACAATAAATATTGAAACGATAAATATTGAAATCATTATTTTAATACTAGAGGCTCAGTGCATGGATTTGGGCACTGGTGGTGGGCATGACTTGCAGGAATTGGCCCTCTGTGGGAGCTCTGCTCATCCTGGTCAGCTGAGCTGCTGCAGACCAGCCCTTTAGCGGCTGCTCCCGCTGTGAGAGTGCGGCTCATCCCGGTCAGCTGACTGGCGCTCCCACTGTGGGAGTGCACTGACCACTGTGGGCAACTCCTGCGTTGAGTGTCTGTGCCCTGGTGGTCAGTGCGCATCATAATAACTGGTCAACTGGTCATTCTGGTCATTCTCCATTTGGTTGCTGGGCTTTTATTATATAGGATTCTTTTGGGGGAGAAAGTAGATTATTATAATCTGGTACTAAACTCTGAGAATATTGCAATCATTAAAAAACAAAAACACTGGACTTCTATAGCTTAAATTTTAACAGAAAATCACAGGGAAGAGATAGAAAATTTTCACTCTGGATTTTTTTATTCTCAGGGCCTAGCAAGAGCCTGAGCACAATGGGTGCTCAACACATATTTAATTAAATAAAAAATATAAATGCATGAATAATTTTTATAATTAGAATTTCATTGCCTATTGGCATATTTATATTGGATATTAAAAATATTCACTCTGAATTAGTCTGCTAGGGCTTCCTTAACAAAATATCACAGACTTGGTTGCTTGAACAACAGAAATTAATTTTCTCACAATTCTTTAGGTTAGAAGTCGAAGATCAGGGTGTCAACAGGTTTGTGTTCTCATGAGGCCTGTCTTATCCCTATGTCCTCACACAGCATTTCCTCTGTGCCTGCACTCCTCAATGTCCCTTCCTTTTCTATCAGATTAGGGAAACACCCTCAGACTTAATTTAATCTCTTTATGTATATTTTTAATCCTTATCTCAGGATATGTTTTAGTGACTTAAGAGAGAGGGAGAGATAAACATTGGTCAATTGCCTTTTGTATGTCCTCCAACTGGGGACCAAACTCCCAACCTAGGAATGTTCCCTGACCAGGAATCAAACCTGCAATGAAGCTCAATCAGCTGAGCTACATGGGTCAGGGCAAGACTTCACTTACCTTTAATTACCTCTTTAAAGGCTCTGTATCTGCATTGCGAGTTAGACTCCATCATAAAAATTTGGAGTCCATAACAAAAACTAATGTATTTTATTGTATATTTTATTTTAAATCACTGTTGTTGTTGTTGTCATACTAGATAATAATAGATACAAATTGCCCCTTGGTCTTTAAGATGGTATTAGATATCTTTAAAAGACATTAAACGTTTCAAGGGATATTAGAAATATCTCCAGAATTTGACAAATTAAGCAAAAGCCATTCTTCTCCTTTTATCTATTTCTAAAAAAACCCCATATTTCTTTCTAATTTTTTCTATGGCATTTAGAAGAACTTGCTCTGTGGAGGGGTCAGGGGAAGAGAAGTCATCCTTTTAATTTGAATCATCAAAATAAGCTAATGAGCTTCCCTCAGGAATAATGAAATATACATTTAATATTTCTCCTCTGAAAGTTTAAGGAAATCATAATGGCCTCTGGTCTTTACACTAGAAAATAACTGGTAAGTAATTACCAGAGGGAGAGTTAGTTCAACCACTGATTGTGTCTAAACAGATGCCTTAGACCAATGAATAATTAAGGTGGTGGTTTCACCAGACCAAACTTCAAAATAAAAATATTAAATAAAGCAAAAGAAGAACAAAAACCTCAAGGAGAATTAATTAAAAAGAAATAGGTGGGGTTAAACTATTTAAATATACTCTTAATTAAAAATTATAACATGCACCCTCTGTTTCTTAATGTTTTCTACAACTGGGTGCTTCCTAACCTTTTTTAAATTTTTCTTTAGTGGCTTTAATACCTTCTTTTAACATCATAAAATCAAAATTTCACAAAACTGGTGGCTCAAATGCCCTTAATACAGATGTG